CGCTTAAAGTTCAAGCAACTATTGGCAAATAAGACAAGTGATGAGCGAATGAAAAGGAAAGATTTTGAGGGATCCTGTTCGGTAGATGTCCTTGAGCCAGATCATGCAAAACACAAAGGTTGTGGGAAACGTTTAAAGTCGGGTTTGGAAAAATCTACATCGCTTAACCGTATGTGCAGCGTTTGTAAGGGGTTCGGCCATGACAAATGTAATTGCCCAAAAGTAGTAAAAGGGGATTAAATATATTAAACACTTTTTTCTATGTTTACCTTGTAATGTTGTGTTTAACCAGATTGCATGCTAAGTGTGTATCATTCGTGTAAGCACTTCTTTTGTAAAACTTTGTCAGTATTTTGGTATTTTGTTTTGTTATTCTATTCTATTATGTTGAATAGTTGAATTATGTGTTTTTGTTATGTTTTGGAAGAGCATGGTATTGTATTATAGTTTTCAATTTGCTAGAGGTCAAATGTATGGATGGACAAACAAATCCAGCTTCTGGTCCATGTGGTTTTTCATGTAAAAACATTTAAGCTTAAACATTGCAGATGGTGTCATTTCAATCATATTTTGCTGCTAAAAATATAAATCTGCTACACTGCTCAAACAAAGCATTTGATACATTGCAGCCAAAATTTCAACAACTAATTTGATAATTCATACATTGAAGCCAAACTTTCAAACATTGATGCCAGAACACAATATCTTGAAACCAAACTATACAGTCGTTTCATTTCAGCTACTTTAGTCTTACAACATCAATTTCTTGCTAAAGTACCTAACTAGTAATCTCACTACACATATACAAAATTAAAGCCCCGGTGCACCTCTCTTGACCAATATATGGGTGAAACTCTTCTTCAATGATTTGAGCTTTAACATGTTCAGGATGTGGTGCAGATGGGCCTGCCTCTAAGTAAAACTCTTCTCATTTTCTTGCTGCAACTTATTGATCTTTTGAGAAATTCATTCAGCAATATGCCTAAAATTGTCTTCCCAAAACAGTTTGAGGGATCAAAGCATCAAACCAGTCCCACATGCGTAACTGACCTGTTAATACACATATTTAAGATTAACATGTTGTTTTCAAGATAAAATTTAGACATTATTTAATCTTAAACTAATAAACTCTAATGAAGAAACAATTATCACCAATTAAAACTCAAATTAATAAATAAAATTAAACAAATCAAAATCTATTATAATTCTATCATTCGGGTCAAAATTTGAGGTCTTTATTCCTGAATTGGTAAAATTCCAATTTAAATTTAAACCAATAATTGAGGAAGGATATGAGTTTGGATCCATAGCTGACCAGGTCTACATGAAAATAATTGAAAATTGCAGCACTACTTGTCACCTTCAACCAAGCTAAGGCCCATCTGCACTTCTGCTGATCGAAGTCAACACCCACAAAAGGAGAAAGACCACACAGATGTGGGTGCCGGCCGGCCAGCTACTCGTCCTTTTGCACCCGCCGGCCGCGCGAACAGATTGATTCCCAGGCCAGCCGGCCAGCTCTTCATGAACTGCAGCTCTTCATGCCAGCTCGTGTGAAATTTGGGAAAGAGTGCAAAAAACGAAAAATAAAGAGTAAGAAGATGAAGAGAAACGAGTTGGGAAAGAGTCGCACATCAAACGGAGAAGAAAAAACGATTAGAGAAAGGTGAATGTGAAATTTGAGGTGCTATGTGAGATCCGAAAAATGGAGAAGACAGAAGAGATAAAAAGGATGAGAGCGGTAACAAATAAAAGAGCTTTAAAACTTAATCGCCACCGTTAATTTAATCTGACGGGCAGGAACAATTTGTTCCGTTTTTTAAAGTATACGGAAGTCCGGATGTGAATGTTTCTCTCTCTCTCTCTCTCTCTCTATATATATATATATATATATAATATCATATTTATCATCAATGACCTTGTGTAAACAACAGTGTCATTTTTCCATGAAAGCGTTAAATAATAAAAAATTAAGAATCGTTGTGAAACCGGTCCACAATTCACTTCTTACTTTTAGTGATTCCTAGATAATTTGTTCCCATCTAAGAATTAAGACAGAGTCTACTTTGTACAACATAACAAAATCTTGGAAATTCAAAATGCAAGTATCAGAAATTTAATTGAAGTTCGGATCACTTTAAACATCAAAACTCAAATTTAATTAAGTGATCATTGAATACTTTAATAGTATAAAGGAATAAAGATCATGTAAATTTTCACTTAATTTATAGAACATAAATGGAATATGAAGGTTGTTATCATCATAATAGCAGTCCACTTCACGTCTTTCAAAATTTTAAAAATACATTGAATTCACATGTGTAAATGTATAAACATCATTACATTATACTTGCTAGTAGCAATTATAAATCTAATATTTACAAATACCATGAAAATAGTAAAGTAAAATATACGCAATGAACTACGAGTTCTTTTGAGTTATTTTATATTTATAAAATTTATGTGATGAAACAAAACTTGTTTTTTGTGAAAATGAGCTTAATATATGCAACTTGGTGTGCAATATTGATTACCTTTGTCTCATTGGTTAAATTAGAATTGTTTGACTAAATATCATTGATTTTACTATTATTTTAGTTGTTGTGGTGATTATTATTTTTATTCTTAATATCATATTACAACTACTGCTATTTTTATATTATTTTTTTAACAACGATTTTTTAACTTTCCGTGTACTATTTCATATTTCATATAGGAAGAAAAATCGAGCCGTTAACAACAACAAGGAATCGAACCATTAACAATTAATATCATATTTATATTCGGTTCCAACCTATTCCACGGTTCCGGTTTCAAAATCCCACCCGTGTTGTTATTTTCTGCCCGAATTTACTGAAGTTATTATAAAGAACGTTTTTACCTACTTTCTGCATATTATTAGAAATTAATGAAATATATTATTAGTATAATTATTTTCATAATTCAGTAGAATCAACAAATACAGCTGTTTCATTTACAACTTAGGGTCTGTTTGCAACAACTTCTGCTTTAAAAAGTACTTTTTTTAATCCAATGGGAAGAAGTGATTAAATAAAGGAGTGTTTGGGTTTGCTTAAAAAAGCGCTTTTCAGCTTTTGGCTTAGAAAAAGTTGAAAAGAGTGTTCAAATTACAGCTTCTGCTTAAATTAATCACTTAAAAGCTAAAAGCTGGAAGCAGGTAGAAGGGTGTTTTAAACTGCTTCTCACTTTTTCTATTACACAAAAAGTACTTATTTTATCAAACACTACCAACTTTTACTTTTTCAGAATCACTTTTTTATCAAACACTACCAACTTTTACTATTATGGAGTGTTTGCGATTGTTTCAACTTTAAAAAAGTGATTTTTTAAAGTGATTTAGGAAAAAGTGATTAATAGTAAAAGTTGGTAGTGTTTGAGAAAAAAGTGATTCTGAAAAAGTAAAAGTTGGTAGTGTTTGGTAAAATAAGTAATTTTTGTGTAATAGAAAAAGTGAGAAGCAGTTTAAAGCACCCTTCTACCTGCTTCCAGCTTTTAACTTTTAAGTGATTAATTTAAGCAGAAGCTATCATTTGAAAACACTCTTTTCAACTTTTTTAAGCCAAAAGCTGAAAAGCACTTTTTTTAATCAACCCCAAACACTCCTTTAATCACTTTTCCCAAAATCACTTTAAAAAATCACTTTTTTTTAAAGTTGAAGCAATTGCAAACACTCCCTAAAAGTTGATAGTGTTTGAGAAAAAAGTGATTTTGAAAAGTAAAAGTTGATAGTGTATGGTAAAATAAGTGCTTTTTGTGTTATAGAAAAATTAAAAACACTTTTGACACGAAAGTCGAGAAAAATAAAAGTTGGTAGTGTTTAGTAAAATAAGTGTTTTTTAAGACAAAAGCTGAACATTGTTTTTTTTAAGCATTTGCAAACCAACCCTTTATCATTTGCAACAAAATCAACCGATTCACTCAATTTAAGTATTACCAAACAGACTCTAAATCTTTATCATCAAAAAATTAAAAATAGGGAAAACTGTCAAATAGGTCCTCGAACTTTCATAAAAGGGTCAATTAAGTCCTTCTATAGGAGCTTCTGTCCGGCCGTCGCGATTTGGGGCAGTTGCTAGTGGAATTTTTTGATGATTTTTTTTTTGCATCTTATTCACCAAGTCTAGTTTACGCATACCAAATTTCAGCTAAAAATTCAATCGGGAACACATTCAAATTAATTCTTGAAGATAACTGCGCATTTTTGCGTTCTCGAATTAATTTGAATGCCCTCCCGAATAAATTTTTAGCTGAAATTTGGTATGAGTAAACTAGGCTTGATAAATAAGATGCTCAAAAAAATTCATCAAAAAATTCCACCGGGAACCGCCCCAAATCGCGACGACCGGACAAAGTCTCCTATGAAAGGACTTAATTGACTTTTTTATGAAAGTTCGAGGACCTATTTGACAGTTTTCCCTTAAAAATATGTCCCACGAATATTACGTAATAAAATTTAAAATTGTTGGGGAAAGTTAGTGTCAAAAAATGGGGCATGAGCATATCAATTACAAAAAATCTATTGGTACACATTTTTCATACACACACCTACACACTCATGTTTGTGAAGAATATTTTTTTGTCTGTATACAGACATAACATATTTGAAAGTACGTTATGTCTGTATACAGACAAAAAAATACTCTTCACAAACATGAGTGTGTAGGTGTGTGTATGAAAATGTGTACCTCAAGCTGGATTGTATCAATTAAGGGTAGGCATATGTGTTTGGTTTAACCGAACCGTATCAAACCAAATTAAATCGAACTGAAACTGAACCGTATTCAATTTGGTTTGATTTTGGTACTATTTCTTCCAAATCGTATTAAACCGAAATCGATAAAAACCGAACAAAATCGAACCGAACTAAAGAAATTCAAAAAAAACTTTCATTTATAAAAAATAAGAAATTCAGACTGAATCAAACTGGACGTAATGAAACTGAACCAAACCGAAAAATAGTCTATTTTTGTTTGGTAATAATTTTTTTAACCCGTTTCAAATTGAAACCGACATGCCCACCTCGTGGAAAGCTCTTAATTGTGCATTGCAAGGACTCAACCCTGTGTCTGTGTAGTACACAACGGTGACTATAAATTGTTGATGGTTCCTGGCAACCACCAACTTGTTCATAAGTTATTTTTATCCAAATTAAACATTTGCGATTTTCGTTTTGAATTTGTTTTGTTTTACTATTGATTGATTGATCAGGAGAGTTGCCAGCTCGTTTCCTCACAGCTTCTTGTCCTTCCTCCCTTCCCATATAGTCCAACTTAGATCCTAAATCAACAACTTCAGGGAAGATTCAAGCTGCCATTGCTCTATACCAGCTTCGTTTTTGATTGCTTCGTCTTGTTGCAAGGTTGAAGTTTAGAATTTTCCCATTTCTCTACCAAGCTATACTCCCCATAAGGGTAAAAACCTTCTAAGCCATCTTGCTTTATTTCTAAGGGGCTTTCTTATGCAGGAACTGAATTGTTTATTTTCTATTTGTTCATTTGTATTTTGAGCTCCACTGCTGAACTGTATATAGATAATATTGAAACACATTTACCATAGGGCTTTTACCTGTAAGTTTATCTCTGTACATCAAAAGTATCGAATAATCAGTCATTGTAATAGAAATTGGGTCATGAACAATTTTGGGTTTCGTGTAGTAAAAAACTCAAAAAGTGAAATGATTATATATTGTCAAAAAGAACTTGTGGGTAGCTTTGGGATACAAAGAAGGACCAGAATGTTACTTAGAAGTGAATGTAGAAAATAGGAACTTCTTGAGAATACTTATCACTGTTTTAATGGGCGCTGTAATAATGAGAGCTAATTTGGTACCAAGGTGTTGCGAGAGTGGTTTTTGAGCTAAATAAGTAAATCCTTAATTATTTGTCAAAAGCTGGAAGTGGAAGATGTTGTTTAAAGCATTTTTACTATTGTGGCTTTGAAGTGGTTTTATATCTACAACTTTCATGCCACAACACTTTTATTTTACCAAAATAACTTTTGGGGGGAAATGTGTTGTGGCTCAGAGACCATAGCAATACTAGTAGTGTGTTTTCCATTGCTTAAGAAAAGCGCTTTTCTATTAGATTTTACCTAATAATACACCAAAAAGAGTACTTTATCGCCATACACTAACTCTTACTCTTCTAAAACCACTTTTCTTTTCAAATCCTACCAATTTTAGTAGTAAACACTTCGTATAATCGGTAAAATAAATCACATCTCAAAAGTAGAAGCTACTTCAAACACTCTTAAGCTATATGCCATAAGCCACTTTTAAAGTTGAGAAGCAATGCTTATTGACATTTGGTGAAGCCTTTCATGTTGTGAACTAGCCTTTTTTCGTTTAAGCACCTTTGCATACTAGACATTAATAAGGCGTGAGTTCATTTGAAAAAATTAGGTTCACCACTTCACCCTGAGAACCCTTTTTCATATCTGGGGGTGATCCTACAAGGTGGTTTTTTCAATATTAAAATATAAAATAATTGGTTCACCTTTCACCCTGAATATAAATTTAATACAATTGTTTTCATATTTAGAAGGCCTAGGTGTAGTATTATCAGAAGTTCTCTACAAGACAATATTTGAGGTTTCCTGTTTAATTATGAAAGTTTTAACATTTTTGTTTCAGTTTTGCTGCCTTTGTATGAGGCAGAAGGCAAGGAATTTCTTCATCAGTTCATTTTAAGGGGCACTCTTATATTGCAGATGGCTGAAAGCTCTGAAGGAAATCATGAAATTAGTAGCCTGCCAGATGAGAGCTACCGTTATGAGAGACCATATTTAGAATCTATATACGATTCATTCTTATGCCCTCTAACGAAGCAAGTGATGCGTGAACCTGTAACTACTGAAAATGGTCAAACCTTTGAAAGGGAAGCAATTGAGAAATGGTTTAAGGAATGTAAGGCAAGCGGAAGAAATCCTGTTTGTCCCATAACACGTAGAGAGTTAAAAAGCACAGAGCTTAATCCGAGTATAGCTTTGTCGAAAACTATAAAAGAATGGAATGCACGAAATGAAGCTGCTCAGCTTGATAGGGCTCGAAGAACACTGTCTATGGGAAATGCTTCAGAGACTGAAATCCTGCGTGTGTTGCAAGATCTTGTGAATCTCTGCCAGAAAAGTAGGTCCAATACTCAAGCAATCCGTAATGCAGATCTGATACCAATGATTATTGAGATGCTAAGGAGCAGTAGTAGGAGAGTTCCGCTCAAAGCTCTTGAAACTCTTCGAGCTACTGTAGAGCATGATGATGCCAATAAGGTTGTCTTTGAAAAAATGACAAATAATATTATCTAAAGAAGTAATTTCACTTTTGGTCCTATCACTATTTGGACATTGCTACTTTTGTTCCTTAACTTTCATTTTCTCCTTTTGGTTCCATACTTCCATGATTAAGACTTTATCACTTAAATCCCTCTGGCCATTTTTCTGGCGGACATCATCTGAAAATTATACCGAACTTGACTAGATAAGTGGTCTGAAGGACCATAAGTATCATCAAATCTGTAGTGCGGGACTAAAAGTGAAAAAATGAAGGTTAGGTTCAAAGAGTAGGAAAGATCTAATAGTCACAGGACCAATTGTGGAAATAGTTTTTATTAATATATGCTTAATGGATAAAAATTTAGTGTTGATATATTGATCATGATACTATTTATGCAGTGATCCTATTTTACTATGGAGTGACAATGGTTATATTTTGGCAGTGGTAGTAGAGGCTAAGTAGTCATATTTTTGTCAATGAGTTTTGTTTTAGTAATATTATTGGATAAACCCCTATAATTTTTGCTAGTAACTATTAAAAATTGTTTTTCAGTAACGGTTGTTTTGAGGTAAGCTTGCATGCTATAACTCACAGTTCCCTGTTAAAGCTTTCAGGATATATTGGCTGAAGGTGATACTGTGCGGACAATAGTGAAATTCTTGCACCATAAGAAATCCAAGGAGAGAGAAGAAGCCGTTTCTTTGTTATTTGAGCTATCAAAATCCAAGTCTTTGAGTGAAAAGATTGGATCAATCAATGGAGCCATTCTCATCCTAGTTGGAATGGCAAGCAGCAGTTCAGAAAATGTTGTTACTGTTGAGAGAGCTGAGAAGACACTAGTAAATCTTGAAAAGTGTGAAAGCAATGTACGTCAACTGGCAGAAAATGGGAGATTATGGCCTCTTTTGACTCTGCTACTTGAAGGTGCTTCATGTAACCCCCCTCATACTACTTGCTACATGTTAAATACAGAGTATTTATTCTTGTAACAAGCATAATTGTCAACTCCTGTGTTGGTTTTTAGAAGTAGCTCAATATCTTATATATTGGTTTATATTTAGCCGGTAGACTCCTCGCTTTAAACTCTTATGTTGGCTTTAAACACTATTAGCGGTACTGCCGGTACATTGTTATTCCATAAGGACACACAATGTCATGGTCAAACAGCTCTTTGGAGCATGTCTTTTTTCTATACGGTTTGAAGTTCCATCCTAAAAAAAGTCAATCTACTTGCAAGAGTGAATCAAGATCCTGTTAATTTGACACTCCGTATTTAATATTTGGCTGATGTGAAACAAACCCTTCAACACCTCGTGTTTTTATCTATTCTAGTGTGAAAGCTTTCTATTGAACCTTATGTTCCAATAACCTTTCAGGATCAAATGAGACCAAGCTTTCGATGGCTGCTTTTCTTGGTGATTTGGTCCTTAACAATGATGTGAAAGTCTTAGTAGCCAAGAGTGTCGGTCCATCACTCATTAATATGATGAGGGAACATGGTAGCATGGAAGCTAGAGAAGTTGCTTTAAAAGCTTTAAACCAAATATCTTCATACGAAGTGAGTTCCAAGCTCTTGATATCAGCTGGTATACTTTCACCCCTTGTGAGGGATCTCTTTGCCATTGGTGCCAATGCACTTCCCATGCGACTAAAGCAAGTCTCTGCAACAATATTAGCAAATATTGTGAACTCCGGTTATGATTTTGATTCTAAACAACGCGATCACCAGAATTTAGTTTCAGAAGATACAATCCATAACTTTCTCCAACTTATCAGCAACACAGGACCCGCCATAGAAAGTAAGCTTCTTCAGGTTCTTGTTGGACTTACTAGTTCCTCCACCACAGTAACCAGTGTTGTTTCTGCTATTAGAAGCTCAGGTGCTGCAATCAGCTTGGTTCAGTTCATTGAGGCCCCACAGAAGGATCTTAGAGTGGCTTCCATAAAACTTCTCCAGAACCTCTCCCCGCATATGGGTGAGGAATTAGCAGGTTGCTTAAGTGGTACTAGTGGTCAACTTGGCAGCCTAATCAAAGTCATATCAGAGAATACATTTGGTATAACTGAGGAACAAGCAGCAGCTGTTTGCCTTTTAGCTGACCTACCTGAGCGTGATATAGGCCTTACAAGGCAGATGCTTGATGAAAAGTTCTTCCAGCTTGTCATCTCAAGGGTAGATGGCATACGGCATGGAGAAAGAAGTGGGGGGCGCTTTGTGACTCCATTTCTTGAAGGGCTAGTGAAAGTTCTTTCCCGCATCACTTTTGTTTTGTCCAATGAACCAGATGCTCTTGCAGTTTGCCGTGAATACAATGTTGCTTCACTTCTCATTGAACTTTTGAAAACAAACGGGCTTGACAATGTACAAATGGTATCTGCTATGGCCTTGGAGAACCTATCTCAAGAGTCAAAGAACTTGACGAAATTGCCCGAGCTGCCTAAGCCTGGGTTCTGTATATCAATCCTCCCTTGTTTGGGTTCCCCACATGTTATAACTGGATTATGTAAAGTCCATCGCGGGACTTGTTCGTTAAAAGAGACGTTTTGTCTTTTGGAAGGTCAGGGTGTAGAAAAGCTGGTCGCTCTCCTTGACCATACCAATGAGAAGGTGGTTGAGGCATCACTTGCAGCTTTGTCCACTTTGTTGGATGATGGGGTTGATATTGAACAAGGAGTTCAGGTGTTATGTGATGCAGAAGGAATCAGACCCATACTTGACGTGTTGCTTGAGAAACGTACGGAAAATTTGAGAAGAAGGGCAGTTTGGGCTGTTGAGAGACTTCTACGCACTGATGACATAGCTTATGAGGTTTCTGGGGATCCAAATTTGAGCACAGCACTAGTGGATGCATTCCAGAATGCAGATTATCCGACAAAACAAATTGCGGAACGGGCATTAAGGCATGTTGATAAAATCCCAGATTTCTCTGGTGTCTTTCCAAACATGGCATAGGGATTAACAAATGCTTTCCTTCATGTTGATGCGGATGATGCCCTTGTATTTATCTTCATTATTGAGTGTATTCATATTTATATTAAGTTGCATCCAAGATGTTGATTTTTCTGTGAATATAGTAAGAAGCGCAGGTAGTGAGAGCACATACATGCATTTCATTAAAATTTTCATCTTTAATTTGTATATGGTCTTGAATTTGTTATTGGCTAAATTGTCTTTTTTGGTTAATTATTCCCCTAGTCATCCGTAAAGCTTAAGGCCTGTTTCATAATGGGAGTGGTAACTGTTAATTGATAGCTATTATTAGACTATTAGTTGTATGAAATAAATGTTTCATAATTTAGCTGATCACAATTAACCGTTAAGGCATAAAATGACTATTACAAAGTACTCCGTAATTTATATTTATTTTTTATAAGTACATTAACTATTATAATACCAACTATCTTCCATGAACCAAGAATAATACCAACTTAATTGAGAAATAATTTTTAATAATACCAACTATTTGATTATCTATCAAAAGTGATATATAGCAAATTTTCACTAAAAATTCATTTATTCAATTCATCAAAAACTAATATCAAAATATCAAATAAGTGATCATATTTTCAAATACGGAGTATCAATTATTTGATCATATTTTCAAATAGAAAAGTGTCTCTATTTTATTTTTGGTTCACATTCAGATAGTTGGTATTATTAAAAGTTATTTCTAAAGTATGTATTATTATTGGTTCATTGAAGATAATTGGTATTATTTAAAGTTATTTTCTCTTTATTTTATACTCTGTATCTTTTTTGCTTATTTGTTGCAGGTAAAGGTTTGACATTGATGTAAAGAAGTTGATATATTCCATCTCTGAATTTAACAATACCAATAGACTTTAGTTTCATCTTTCCATGCACCGTGAATATGTGTACTTGATTTTGTTACGGACTTACGGAGTATTTAGTTTAAAGGTTTTACTTTTATTGATGTACTATAATTTTTATTTGTTGTGAATGTTACTAGAGGGTTGAGCATTATATTGATGTAATAATTGTTGATATCTTGTTAAAAATTCAAAATGAATGAGTTTATACTAGGTCACTAAGGGTTAGGTCACTTTGGCTGATGTGTCACTGAGGCGATGGTCACTATGCCGTTGGTCACTGGACAATGATCATTGAAGCGTTGGTCACTGGCACGGTGGTCACTTTGGCGTTGGTCTCTATGATGTTGGTCACTGGGCAGTAGTCATTGGCGCGGTGGCACTGTGTCGTTAGTCTCTACTATGACGCTGGTCACTGGGCGATGCTCACTGTGGTGTTGATCACTGGTGTGGTGGTCAGTATGACGTTGGTCATTGGATGTTGGTTACTGGAGTGAAAGTAACTATATGATGGTCACTGAAGAGATTGTAACTGGGGTGGTAGACTGGTAGTAACTGGAGCGATATTAACTGAGACGATGATCACTTAAACAATACTAATTAAGACTTTTTCCACACAAATTTTGTATAACAGATTAAATATTTAATACACTTATATTTCTATATCCAACTATCTTAAAAAATAATTTCAAAATAAAAAAAGAAGCATTAATGGTTCTTTACAAAAATTAAAAAGAAGAATTAATGGTTAGAGATGATTAAAAAAGAAGTACTCCGTATATTATATTAGAAATAATTTTAAAATAAAAAAGAAGCATTGATAGTCGTTAGAGAATGCAGACATCCAGTACACGCTTATCCGATGCAACTAGTTTTCTGCATGCGCGGTGCGCAATTGAATAAAATGCCCAACGACTTTTTCTAAAAAATATGTACATTAGATGTTGATTTGATATGATTACTTTTAGTACGGAGTATTTAACACATCAACATTTATATCAACTTAAAAATAGAGTACTTAATATTTCCTCATCATGAAGAGGACCCAAAAATAAAATAAAAAAATGCAAATGCACATACATGCCAGCCCCTACCTATTTTCCTAATTTTATAAGAAAAAGTATCATTAGCAACTCTGATAACTATCCAGTACATATCTAAATATTGTTGACTCACATTCGATCTAATATAAGACCTTCACATGGTAATATATGAGATACGAATGAGAAGTACAATAAAAATAAGTCGTAATTAGAGCAACTCCTAACTAAAAATGTAATCATTTAATTCATCAAAAAATAATGTCAAAATATTAAATAAGTGATCATATTGCTAACTATCATTTATTTGATCGTTTGATATAAGTTTTTGATGTTTTAAATGATTGATTGTTTTTTTTGTCTAAAGTGGATTTATATTATTATTTTTGTTTATTGAAATACTTGATATTATTAGAAATCATTTTCAAAGCATGTATTATTATTGATTCATTCAAGATAGTTGATATCGGAAAAGTAGTCGTGCTTAAGAACAAAATTGGGTCATAGAAATGAGAAACGGTTAGTTTTTTAACAAAACATTATAATTTCAAGATAAACTTTTTACTCTTTTGTTGCATAGTTGTAGAAGAGTCCATCTTCTTTCTTTTCTTTTCACCCTTTTTCCTTCTCGCTTTACGTCTAGAACATACTCCCTCCGTCCCAAAATGGTTGGCCAAATTTCCTTTTTTGGCTGTCCCAAAAAGGTTGGCCATTTCCATTTAAAGTAAGGAATATGTGGCTAAAGTTAATTCTCTCTCCTCTGCACAAATTTTAACCACACAGTTTTTACTTTATTAATCCACGTGCAAGTCAACATTGGCCAACGATTTTGGGACGGAGGGAGTATTACTCACAAAACTTGTAGCTTAAGACTTGAAAAGTCCTTTAGGTAACAATGAAATTGATTGAATCGACTGATCTTGTTAAATTTTATCAAATTCTGATCAAATTGTCTAAATGTGCCGAATTAAAAAAGCATATATATACTGTATGAAAAACGACTACAATAGACTTTTTCTTCAAATTCAGCAGAAAAGTAACATCAATCTTACTTTTTAATAGCCAATTTAGCGTTTGAAATAAAAAACTGCATGTTTCATAAAAATGTTACCGGGGTGTTTGATTAGTCTGATAACTCAAAAGAGAGACTAAGAATCAAGCTCAAAATATTTACATTACTAATATAAATTAAACTTGTAGCAGTTTTAGTTATAATTGTTTAATACTCTCTCCGTCCAGTTAAGAGCATCTCTAATGCTATAATGTCCACGGTGCACATTGCATGTGGCATGAGTGATAGCCACATAATTATTAGCAAATAAATTATTTCTCTCCTTATTTGAATGATTTTATACAATTTTGGTAAGTTTTTCCTGCAATGTCAACATTAATGTCAAAATTAGACGGTCTCCTTGACATTGTGGAGAAAAACTTACCAAAACTGTATAAAATCATTCAAATAAAAAGAGAAATAATTTATTTACTAATATTTATGTGGTCATCTCTCATGCCACGTGTGCACCGTGCACATTGTACCATTGAAGATGCTCTAAGATAGTTTCATCTTTTCTTTCTTGTCCTCTTACTAAGATTATATTTGTAGTGTTTGTTTGGTTTATAATCATTTTTATTTTATTTTCATTTTATGAATTCAATATCAATCACTTAAATTCACTTTTTGGTAATCACACCACTTCCTCTTGTACTACAATGATAGGGGAACGAAGGTAGTAGCAAATGAGGTAGATTTCCCTAGTTAAGTCACATATCTTGCTCAAAATTATTTAAGAGCTCATTTGGTAAATCGCTTTACAGCTTATTAGCCTTATCAATCAATACTTTTACCAAACACGTAACTTTTGATTACCGTCACTGAATTGTGCAATAATCAGAATAAGTAAAGTTGAAATAACTTTTCTGACTAAATTGGTTAAAATTACTGTAGATGATAATTTTAGTCATTTTTTATATAATTTTTTCTTTAATTTATTAATAAATTCTTGCTAAATATAAATTAGTGTTGGTAAAAATTTGTACTAATTGATAATTTTAGTCAATTATTAAAGTTGAAATTGATTTCTTTAACACTGATATTAAATGCTTGATAATTTAGAAATTTTTATTAATAAAGTGGTTGAAATTGATTTCTACTTAAATTGCAATTAAGTACAATTATTAGAATTCATAATTATTAGATTTTACCCATAATTGTATATAATAAAATTGAAGTGAGAGACATATTTAAATAATAAATTGTTGTTAACCATGCCCATGGGTGAATTGCTTGTTATCAACCATGCACGTGTCTTTTTTTGTAGTCTTCTTATTATAGTTTTCTATTCATTTTACTACTGTTACTTCCTTAATCAGTTTTAGTTGATTAGCTTTTACTTTCTTAATCCACTTTCCCTTTCCACCCTCCTTCCCTGTACCTTTTCCTTCTGGAATTCATCTCCCTGCCTGCTGGCTGTTGCTTGTTGATTGTACATGATAGTCCTATTGTGGAATACACAAACTCATTTAATCCTATTTAGGACAATTTCCCGTTATTATTTTGTCCAGCCTCATTATTACATTTCCCCAGCCAAGTAAAATAAGTTTGCTTCTTTTGTTGTTACATTTGTGCAGATCATAGTGCCCCATCTTGAGGCTTTGACAGAGGAACAACATCAAGATATATGTAGTCTTTGTGAAACTTTTCAGGATTCAGAAGATCGTTTTACGCAAGCATTGGTATTACAGAAGCAGTTACTTGACGTTTCAGTTTTGGCAAGCCAAAATTCATATGCAATAGAGAAGTTGGAGTATTTATGCAGGTTTTCAGATAAGGTAATAAATTCATTGTCATTTTCTTTGGTGATCCCCCGTCATTCTGGTCCGGTGGCACACTAATGGTTTTCCTCAAAAAAATAGGGAGATCATTTTCGGAAAACAACGTTAAACGAGATGTGTTCATTGTGTTATCCAAAATTCATGTAAATCTGCATGCATTAATTAGATAAATAGATGTAAAAGAAAATACTTGTATCAACCGAGCCCAACAAAAGCGTTGTCTCCTTAAGACGTTTTTGCTCGACACACGTAGCAAGCGTCTCCCAGGATAGAACAGTTCTTCGCTCCCAAAGGGATTCCGGCGAACTCAAAGATGCAACGAAGGAAGAGAGAATTTGAGGAATTGTTTTTGAATTTTCGGATGTCTCAAAAGTGAAGACAAGGCGGGTATTTATAGAGCTCTGGCCAGGAGTCTCTTAACCCAAAAGACACCTTTTAAAAGAAAGTTCATGACCTTTCTTTTAAAACGAATGGTTGTGTCTTTAATTTGGTTTTATCCGAAAACGTAGCAAAATTAAATCTTCCTATCTTAAGCCCGATTGTTGACTCGTCAAAGACCCGAACCCGACCGACTGACGGCGGCAGTGTATGCGTGTTAAGTATAATTTCACGCTTATCTTTCGAGGAATAATTTCTCATTCATTTCAAAATGATTTTTACAAATAATATTAATGACCATAATATTAATTTGTAAAACCATTTTTCCAACAATCCCCCCACATGAATGGGAAATTGGCTTAAAGACAGAAAACATATTGGAATTTGACATGGGAAGATGGGAATTCTGCATAGGGTTAGGTAGTCGTGAAACTTTGAACCTACCTTAGTGTATATCCATCGGATTTACTGGACAATCGGTAGCACTTTGCTTTGAACCGTCAGCCATAGTGTAAACCTAGACAATGAATGACACACAGAGCCCCGAGTGCATCTTTGGTTCTCACGTTTGTGTTCGTTTCGGCCTTGAACACCTCCTGGTTCAGCTAGTGTTTTCAAGAGTATATCGTGCACCGGAGAATTTATCTCGTGCCATAGACTCTCATAGAAGCGGCCTTCTTCCACCAGCATAGGTGATCTCTATGGAAGGTATCATGCCATACCTTACTTGAACGTATCAAGATATAGAGATTATTAAAAGCGTAACTTACCCTAAATGCTCATGGCATGAGTGTACTATATCTTGGCTAGTACCGCCCGAGCCAGTCCACAGTTGTGTTTTCCCTTTGAACCTAATTATGAGGCACTCTCAATAATAGGTAAGGTTTCCCCATGGACTTTTATTGGATCATTGGCCGTAGGCCCATCGCTCTCCTTGACGTTTCGACCAACTCTCTCGGTAGAGGTTTGGTTAGCGGATCCACAATATTTTCTTTCGACTTAACATAGTCAAGAGAGATGATCCCATTTTTAATTAGTTTTCTAACGGTATTATGTCTACGACGGATGTGTCTAGACTTACCATTATAAACTGCATTCCTTGCCCTTCCAATTGCAGCTTGACTATCACAATGAATGGATATTGGAGGGACAGACTTTTCCCAACAAGGAAGATCTTCCAAAAACTCTCTCAACCATTCAGCTTCTTCTCCAGCCTTATCTAAGGCAATGAATTCAGCTTCCATGGTAGATCTTGCAATACATGTTTGTTTGGAAGATTTCCACGACACAGCACCACTTCCAAGGGTAAACACATATCCACTTGTTGATTTTGTATCCTTGGAATCGGATATCCAATTTGCATCGGTATATCCCTCTAGCACGGCTGGATATTTTTGAAAATGTAAACCATAGTCTTTGGTGTACATCAAATACCCAAGCAACCTTATAAGTGCTTTCCAGTGTTCTCTACCGGGATTTACTGAAAACCGGCTTAGCATATTCACAGCTTGAGCTATATCGGGTCGTGTTCCATTCATGACATATGTTAAACATCCTATGACCCGAGGATAGTCATCTTGTGACACACTTTCTCCTCTATTTTTATTGAGGTGAACACTGGAATCAAAAGGAGTTCTCATGGGTTTGATATCATACTTCTTGAATCTCTCAAGCATTTTCTCAATGTAGTGTGATTGAGATAATATCAACCCTTCAGGTGTTCTGATGATTTTAATTCCTAGAATCACATCAGCAACACCGAGATCCTTCATTTCAAATCTCCTGGCCAACATACTTTTGGTAGCCTTTATCAAATTACTGTTACTACCAAAAATGAGCATATCATCTACGTATAGACACACTATGACGTAGTCATTTTGATTGCCTTTCACGTACACGCACTTGTCAGCCTCGTTGATCTTAAATCCATTTGATAGCATTACACTGTCAAATTTATCATGCCATTGTTTGGGGGCTTGTTTTAACCCATAAAGAGATTTTACTAAGCGACAAACCTTTCTTTCTTGTCCGGGGACAATAAAACCTTCAGGTTGTTGCATGTAAATCTCTTCCTCTAAGTCACCGTTCAAGAATGCAGTTTTTACATCCATTTGATGGATTTCCAAACCCTTCAATGCAGCTATTGCTAATAACGTTCGAATTGAAGTTATTCTTGTGACCGGTGAGTAGACATCAAAGTAGTCAAATTCTCCTTTTTGGTTGTATCCTTTGGCAACCAATCGAGCTTTGTACTTTTCAATTGTTCCATCAGTTCTCCTTTTCTTTTTGAAGATCCATTTGCATCCTAGAGGTTTAGATCCAGGAGGCAAATCTACCACTTTCCAGACGTGGTTAGACATGATGGAATCAATTTCACTTTTGATAGCCTCTTGCCATTGTACAGCGTCCGGTGAAGACATGGCTTCTTTATAGGTTTGAGGCTCATCGTCTAGAAGGTACACAACAAATTCTGGTCCAAAATCTTTCGATTTTCGAGCCCTTTTGCTGCGTCCCACTTCACCTTCCTGCGTTATTTCGTTGTTATCTTTTATAGAATCAAACGGCCTCTTATGTGAGTTTGTTTCTTCAACATGGGTTGGAATGAAAACATCCATGTCGGAGGAGACAACTTCACAATCTCCCTTGAAAGGAAATACATTCTCAAAGAATGTAGCGTCTCTAGATTCTATAAAAGTATCAGCCAATATATCCATGTTATGGGATTTGTGGACAAGGAAACGATATGCACTACTATTTTGTGCATAACCAACAAAGACACAATCAATGGTCTTTGGTCCAAGTTTTGTCCTCTTAGGTTTGGGAATAGCTACTTTAGCTAGACATCCCCACACTTTCAAGTAATTAAAACTTGGTTTTTTCCCTTTCCATAACTCATATGGAATCTTTTGATAGCCTCTTGCCATTGTACAGCGTCCGGTGAAGACATGGCTTCTTTATAGGTTTGAGGCTCATCGTCTAGAAGGTACACAACAAATTCTGGTCCAAAATCTTTCGATTTTCGAGCCCTTTTGCTGCGTCCCACTTCACCTTCCTGCGTTATTTCGTTGTTATCTTTTATAGAATCAAACGGCCTCTTATGTGAGTTTGTTTCTTCAACATGGGTTGGAATGAAAACATCCATGTCGGAGGAGACAACTTCACAATCTCCCTTGAAAGGAAATACATTCTCAAAGAATGTAGCGTCTCTAGATTCTATAAAAGTATCAGCCAATATATCCATGTTATGGGATTTGTGGACAAGGAAACGATATGCACTACTATTTTGTGCATAACCAACAAAGACACAATCAATGGTCTTTGGTCCAAGTTTTGTCCTCTTAGGTTTGGGAATAGCTACTTTAGCTAGACATCCCCACACTTTCAATTAATTAAAACTTGGTTTTTTCCCTTTCCATAACTCATATGGAATCTTGTGTGTTTTCTTGTGGGGCATTCTATTTAGAATGTAGTTGGCGGCTAAGACAGCATCCCCCCACAAGTTGTTCGGAGCACGAGAGCTAACTAACATGGCATTAACCATGTCCTTTAATGTTCTATTTTTCCTCTCGGCGATTCCATTAGATTGAGGTGTATAAGGAGCAGTAGTTTGATGAATTATTCCACTTTCCGAGCAGATTGGCTCAAAGGGATACTCATATTCACCACCCCTATCACTCCTTAACACTTTAATCTTCCTCCCAAGTTGATTTTCAACTTCAGCTTTATAATGCTTAAAAGCATTAACAACTTCATCTTTGCTATGTAGCAAATACAGATAGCAATATCTTGTGCTATCATCAATGAAGGTAATGAAATACCTTTTCCCCCCTCTAGTTTCTTCATACTTGAGATCACAAAGATCTGTGTGTATGAGATCTAGTGGTTCAGTTTCTCTAGTAATAGAGTGAAAAGGTTTTCTAGCCATTTTTGCTTCAACACAAATTTCACACTTGTGATAAGGATCAATATGACATTTAGGAAGCAATTCTAAATGCATTAATCTACGCAAAGTATCATAATTGACATGTCCTAGTCTAGCGTGCCAAATAGAAGAAGACTCAACCAAGTAAGAAGAACCCACTTTATTATTATCAACAAGTTTGGGTACAACGGTAAGTACATTCATTTTGAAGAGACCATCATTGAGATAGCCCTTCCCTACAAACACATCATTCTTTGTAAGTACAAATTTATCAGCCACAAAGACAAGCTTGAAACCATTTTTGCTAAGGAGGGAGCCCGAAACCAGATTCTTGCGTATGTCAGGGACATGTAGCACATCGTTCAAAGTTAGAGTTTTTCCACTGGTCATTTTAAGGACAACTTTGCCGCGACCTTCTGCTTTGGATGTAGAAGAGTTACCCATAAATAGTTGTTCCTCGTTATCAACGGGTTGATAATCGGTGAACATCCACTTGTTAGCACAAATATGTCGGGTAGCTCCAGTGTCAATGCACCATTCTTTAGTGTTTCCCACTAAATTGCATTGAGATATCACGGCACATAGGTTCATTTCACCCATGTCATCAGAGAGCTCGTCCACAATATTGACTTGTCCGGTCTTCTTTTTCTTAGGAGCACGACAGTCCTTAGCACGGTGACCGGGCTTGCCACAATTATAGCACTTTCCTTTAAATTTCTTTGACGAAGGCTTGGCTCCACTTGTTCCTTCGTCGTTGTGCTTTCTCTTCTTCCCCTTCTTGGATCCCGCTTCCACCATGTTTGCTTTAGCATCCATGGAACTTGATCTATCGGCTTTATGCTCCGATTTGCGGTTATCCTCCTCTATCCTTAAACGAACAATGAGCTCCTCTAGGGACATTTCCTTACGCTTATGCTTCAAGTAATTCTTGAAGTCTCTCCATTTGGGAGGTAATTTTTCAATTATCACCGCCACTTGGAAGGACTCACTAGCAAGCGTCTCCCAGGATAGAACGGTTCTTCGCTCCCAAAGGGATTCCGGCGAACTCAAAGATGCAACGAAGGAAGAGAGAATTTGAGGAATTGTTTTTGAATTTTCGGATGTCTCAAAAGTGAAGACAAGGCGGGTATTTATAGAGCTCTGGCCAGGAGTCTCTTAACCCAAAAGACACCTTTTAAAAGAAAGTTCATGACCTTTCTTTTAAAACGAATGGTTGTGTCTTTAATTTGGTTTTATCCGAAAACGTAGCAAAATTAAATCTTCCTATCTTAAGCCCGATTGTTGACTCGTCAAAGACCCGAACCCGACAGACTGACGGCGGCAGTGTATGCGTGTTAAGTATAATTTCACGCTTATCTTTCGGGGAATAATTTCTCATTCATTTCAAAATGTTTTTTACAAATAATATTAATGACCATAATATTAATTTGTAAAACCATTTTTCCAACACATTGTTAACAACACGCCAAGCAGCTCAGGGGCTTGTTGCCATGGGGCAGTACCTTAAACGACTGCGAAATCTCAGTTCACTTTCGGCTAACTCTTTTCATAGTGCTTCTTCCTAGCCAAGCAGTGTGTGAGCCTCTCAAGAATCTGTCCTTTCTCAAGTCCAGTTTGCATGATGCAAATTGCAAAAATCTAATATCTGTCACCTTGGAATCTACTTGCCATGGTTGCCAAATTCTAAATATGTCGATATATTGTCATTACACTACATACATAGATAGATACACTCATTGTGCTGCTTGTAAGCATAATCTTGTCTTGACTAATAATATGTCGCTTTCTTAAGACCTCCGATCCCCATTGGCAACAATTTTAACAAAATCTACACCTCAGTTACCCTGGAAGCAAATCTGAAATTCTACATTGATTTCTCACATAGATGACATCGAATATCATTTTTAATTAAAACTATTATTCAAAATTTCTTCTCTTTAATGAACTACGTAATATATATTGACTATTGAGGATGGTTTACTGATCAGTTCTACGAAGTACAGTTTGCATAAATGTCCAACTATTTTGCCTGGAAACCGAACTGGTCCCAGGTAGGCCTGGACTCGGGCCGGGTGGCCTGCCCCGGAACCGGCCTGGCCCGGTTACTTTTTGAACCGGCCCGGCCCGGGAACCGGTCGGGGCGGCGGTTCGGGTTGACCCGGCCCGGTAGTCCAGCGGTTCGGTCTCGGGCCCTTCAAATGGCGAACCGGCCCGGCCGGGCCCGGTTCGGGCCAAACGGTTCTTTTTAATTTTTTAATTTTTAAAATTATTTGGGGGCATCTAGCCATTGGGAGACCTCCCAAACGGCTCTATAGCCGTTGGAGGGGGTAGGAGGGGGGGTCCAGGGGTTTTGGGGGTGGGGGTTGGGGATAAAAAAAACCTATTTATACTCCTATTTTCTATACATTTTTTAGACCTCACATTTTTTACTCTTCCTACTCTCTAATTCTCTATTCCCTCATACTCTTAAATCTTAATCATCTCCATCTTCATCTTCTTCAAACCTCTCTACATATATATTATTTATATATTAATTATCTACTTATATACCTATATTATATTACTAATATTTATTATCTACTTAATATATATTTATTATCTTCTTAATATTTACTTTGATATCTACTTATCATCTATACTTATTGTTATTTACTTATATATTAAATTATTAATTATCTACTTTACATACATATATTATATCACTTATATTCCTTATCTACTTAATCTCTACCTATTATCTACTTATATATATTAAAGTATTATATATAAGTGTATTACTCATCTTATAGTAATATACTTATATATTATATACTATAAACATTATATTATATATTAGTTATAAAATAATCTACTTATATACATATATTATATAGGGGAGAGTTCAAATAAAAAGTATTCTTCACGTGCAAAGTGCGAAAATTGCACTTTTACACGTTTCACTTGCACTTTTTCGCCTTTTCGATTTTGGGTAAATTCAGCCAAAACCACGGTGGCAGTTTTGTAAATAAACCAATTTTTTCGTCACCGTGAAAAAGTGCAACGAAAACAAGCAAAAGTGCAAGCGAAACGTGTAAAAGTGCAATTTTCGTACTTTGCGCGGGAAGAGTACTTTTTATTTGAACTCTCCCCATATTATATTACTAATATTTATTATCTACTTAATGTATACTTAAATTACTTATAATCTACTTATACATCTCTATCTTCATCTTCTCCAAACCTCTCTACATATATATATTATTTATATAATTATTATATCTACTTATATATTAATTATCTACTTATATACCTATATTATATTACTAATATTTATTATCTACTTAATATATAGTTATTATCTACTTATACATCTCCATCTTTTTAATATTTACTTTGTTATCTATATTTATTGTTATTTACTTATATATATTAAAATATTATATATAAGTGTATTACTCATCTTATAGTAATATACTTATATATTATATACTATAAACATTATATTATATATTAGTTATACAACTATGTTAGTTACACTTGAATTCATAGTAATTAAATTCATCGTATTAGTTAATTTTTACATTTTTCATTGAAGTATAAAAGTAGTTAATTGTTACATTTTTCATTCAAGTATAAAACTAGTTAATAGTTACATTTTTCATTCAAGTATAAAACTAGTTAATTGTTACATTTTTCATTAAAGTATAAAACTAGTTAATTGTTACATTTTTTATTAAAGTATAAAACTAGTTAATTGTTACATTTTTCATTATAGTATAAAATTAGTTAATAGTTACATTTTTCATTTCCCTATTATTTAATTTGAGAATGCCGCTTACGTGAGTTATTTTTGTGGTTTTATGAAGGAAAAGTTTTTAAAATATTATGCACATATTCCGCGTATTTATAGTATTGCATTTATTCTCAATCCTCGTTATAGACTTGGTAATTTGGAAGAATGTTCGAAGTTCTATTATAATGCTTTTTTTGGTCCATTTCCAATGTATGATGATAACGCCATATATCCGCAAGTTGAATACAACGAGATTAGTAATTTATTTTATGCCTTATTTAATGAGTTTCGTGCACAATATGGCAACGCACCCCCTCCCCCGACACACACATCTTCATCTAAAGGAAAATCACTTTTTAAATATGCTTTTGGCAATCTTATGAAAAACCTAAAACAACTCACACTACTGAACAAAGCGTACTTAATGAGATTTCTTTGTATATAAATTATGAGGTAGAATTTGACGAAAATGAGGAGTTTGACGTTCTAAAGTGGTGGAAGTCAAAAGAAAGAATGTTCCCGATTTTGGCACGGATGGCTAAGCAAGTGCTATCAATGCCGGTTTCAACAGTTGCCGTGGAACAAGAATTTAGTTCGGCCGGCAACGTTCTAACGGCATCTAGAACGAGTTTGAGCGCTGAGTCTCTTGAGACGCTTATATGCTACCACGACTGGTTGAAGGCCATACATAGATGTCAAGAAGTTAGCATCACCCCTCCCAAGACTTTATGGATGAATCAACAACCGAGGGTGGCTCCTATGCCAGAGATTCCGATTGATTAGTATTTTACAGTTTATTATAAAATATATTTCATGTTTTAATTTTTTCCTTCAATTCTCTATTGTAATTTGTAAAGTTGTATTTCATATTTCAAATAAATATACATTCTTTTTTTTATGTAGCACTTCTCAAATTAATTAATTAATTAATTGGTTACAAACTTACAACTTACAACTCACAACTTAGAATTTATTGTATTTATTGTATTTCATATTTAAGTTGTATTAAAAAGATAAATAAAAAAAAATTAACCTAGGCCCGACCCGACCCGGCGGGTGGCCCGGCCCGAACCGGAACCGGGCGAAGGACGGGCCGGTTCCGGGCCCCCCTTATAGGACCGGAGGCCCGGCCCGAACCGAGTCCAGCCCTAGTCCCAGGCCTACTTTGTTATCTAAGTTATCTAACTTTTTAAACTTAATGTTATTACGAGAAAAACAGTTTTAACTAAACTAATTAAATTTAGAATCAGCAAATAAAAAAGGTGGAGCGTTGAATGCAACTATGCAAGCCATATTCTTACAGCCGTCCAAGGAATTAACTTGGTCCGGATTACAACTTTACAAGTGTCTTAAGTCTTAACTGAAGGCGTCCATGAAATAATTCACTGTTATTAGTTGATGTTATCTATCTATAGATAATACATTTGAAAGATACAATTATGGAAAGTTTTGCCACGTGTCATCTTCTAAGCAAACATATATTGCAATATTTTAGATTGTCTTTCCTATTTTGTAAATTAATTAATTATATTACGTTACTTTAGAATTTAAGTTACATTAGAATTCTCATTAGATTAATTTAGTACTAAACTTACGAATCAGTTTATGGGACCCCAACAAAAAAAATCTCTATATTTTTTAAATAGATATAAAATTTTCATTTGTGATTCAATTTTTATAAAACATATATCAATATTCATGACTTTTTATTATCTTTCATATGACACCAATATTGCATATGTAAAAAAGAAAAGAAGTTTGAACATAGGATTAATGGAAACTTTTAGGCTCGAAACTTTTGTATAGATGACAAAAAGTAAGGTTGAAGTTACTTTTGTGT